TTGGACCTGGGAAGTGGCTTCACAGCCTGCCTCCAGAGAGGAGAGGCAGGCCCAGCGCAGCTGGCTTCTCCTGTGGTTGCAGGTAGACCTGGGCCAGAGCCCGAAGGGCCCAGCCACACCCAGGCCCTCCCTGGGCTCTACCAACCAGCAGGCCGCTCTTCTTCCTTGGGGTCAGCCAGTGAAGGGGAGAGGGACCAGCAGTGCTGTGGAGGGGAAGGTGTCTTCCAGAAACACGAGGGTAGGGGGAGAGCTGTCCACAGTCAACGTGTTTTATCCTTGACCTTTCTGTTTCAGGGTCCAAAGCACTTCTTTGTGCATTCTGTTCAGGACGTATTTGAGTCCCCACGTGAAATCCCTTTCATCCTTGCAAAGGGGCCGCTCTTGTCCCTTTGCAGTTGCTTCTGAGTCAGGAGAGCTGGCCATCCCCCTTTCTGTCATACCTCCCCCACAGGTCCCTGCCACTTCCTTCGTCCCTCCAAGCTGAGAGTCTATGTCCCCTTCTTTCCAGAATGGCCTTTTAAATGTCATACACACCCCGGTGGCTGTCACCCATTCAGAGACACGTTTCTTTCTCTCCCAAACCCCTGCCCCCTACCCAGCACGTGCAGCTCAGAAGCTCTCGTCTCGACCAAAGGCTTGGGCCACTTGTACTATTTCTCGATCTTACTATAGTCACAGCCCGTATTCGGAGCCCTGCTGGGAAATTTTATTCCCTGTACATACTTAATTGTTGCTGTACACACTGAATATAAGAATTGAAATGTGGACGCTGTTGTTGATTTCGCTGTTGTGTTCTGTTGACCATGATGCTGGTGAGTTCTTGGCCAGGTGATTCGTTAATTCACTTGTTCATGTCCTCATTCGCTTGCTGTCCTTTAGGGAGTGTGCTGGGCCCTGTGTGGAAGCCTGAGGTTGCGAATAGGAATCGGTCTCCACTCCCGTCTTCGTGAAAGTCTGGGGGAGGAATGGCCACTTAGAAGCTTTGCAGTTTGGCCAGGTGAGCCCGGTTACAGGGGCGTGCAGAACTGTGAGCGCCGCCCTCAGGTGAGGGCCACTTAACATAGGCCTTGAGAGAAGGGGGAAGGGCAGCCCGCCAGGTGGAAGGTGGGCAGGGTTGCCAGGGCCTGGCCTCTGGTGGGAGGAAGGGCAGGAGGTGCTGCTGGCATTGTGAGAGGCAGCAGGGCCCGGCGGGACGTTTTGTCAGACAGGAAGGTGTGTGGACTTGATTCTGTGAGCAACAGGAAGCCAGAGCAGGTTCGAAGCAGAGGTATCACGCCATCCGTCTTTTTGTTTTTTGTTTTATTTAAGTCAGGGAGACAATTCTGCATCGAAGGGATGGGATTCATTCTTAGAGAGGTTCATCCTTACAGGGCAATAGGCACTTGGCTGCCAAGACGCCCAGCTCTCTGCTTAGTGTTTGGAGGGTCTCCAGTGATATCGATGTAATTGAGCTTTTAGCAAAAAAAAAAAAAAAAAAAAATGAAATGGTAATAGCCAATATGTCTAAAATGAAAAGAACGTGATTTGCCTTATAATAATGCACCCCCCCAAATAAATCTTTAATTCGACCTATGAATCTTTAATGCCAAGCATGCAGCATAATACTGTGAAATTGATACTTGAGAGGCGGGCATTGCAAATCAGCCCTCTGGTGGGTTTGGGGCAGACAAATTGAGCAGCATGAACTATTGACACCTCCTGGTGGCAGCAGATGTGTGCTGGTTACCTGGTCAGAGCAAGAGGGAAATGAATCGAAGGCATTAAAAATAAATAACACTGGCAGCCCAGAAGGAAGGCACAGGAGGATGAATGGTCCCCGCTACGGGCCAACTCGGGGGAAACCCTGTCGGAGGGAGGGGGCAGAGGGAGGCACTGGGTAGCCAGGGCCAGCCGTCCCCCCTTCCTGGTGAGAGGACCCCAGCAGGGGCGCTTCTGACAAATTTTAAACCAAAACGTCGAGCGTAGAGGAAGGTGTTTCAGAATGTCTGCTGGCGATTTTTAAAAGAAATGGTTTTCACTTTTCAGTTCTAAACATGCAGCCTAATAAATTATTTTTCATAATAATCCTTTTCAGCTCTATGAGCACGTTTTAACCTGAGACCCTTGCACGTGTGGGGCTGGATTTAATATGACAAGTGGCACCTCTAGGGGAGGACTGCCGAGAGTTGCTGTATTTCTCACCTGGGCTTGTTCTGGTTACAATATTTACTAAGTCACGACGACAGTCACTGTGAGATGTTGCAGAGCTAAACGCGGAAGCCCATCAATGCCGCGGGAGCGGACGCCCTTCCTGCTTCGGTGGGGAACCCGAGCTCGAACAGGGCAGTGGCGCTGGGTGTTCGAGCTGTGGGTCCGGAGGTGGAGACGGCCCACCAGTGAGATGGAGGATCCAGGGTCCAGGTTCAACCAGTCACTTGCTAGGTGACCTCGCCTTCTCGAGCTCTCGGTCTCCCTCCGGGGAAAGTGAGCAGGTGGACTCCAGAAGACCTCTGGGGCCACGGGGGACAGGGCTGTTTAAATACTTGATTCTTAAGCACCTCTTGGCCCCTTCCTCCATTAAAACGATTAGAATTATGTTCTCTGACTGCTCCGGTGGCATAGAAATGTAATCAAGTCAGGATTCCGTTTCTTTTGGTACAGTTGCAGCGCACACCTTGCTTATTATACAGAGAATACTCACGTGCCGGGCGCCCCCAGCCCTGTGCCCACTGCACGTGGGGAGGCCTGCCCTGCGGGGGCGGTGAGCAGCCAGGAGACGCAAAATGCCATGGGGTTAAGAGTGTGGCCGGTTTGGCTCAGCGGTTAGAGCGTCGGCCTGCGGTCCGGAGAGACCCGGGTTCGGTTCCCGCTAAGGGCACCTACCTCGGTTGCAGTTTGTCCCCAGCCCGCCCTGGCTGGGTCGCAGTGGCAGCCACTCGATGTGTCCCTTTCAAGTCGATGTTTCTCTCTCTCTCTTCCTCTCTCTCCCTCCCACTCTATCTGAACAAAAAGTGGAAAAATGTCCTCGGGTGAGGATAAAAAAAACAGTGTGAGCTCAGCTTGAGAGGGACCTCGAGTCCCACTTGCTGGCTGCTCGGCTCTAGGCAGTGACTTCCCCTTTCTGAGCTTCAGGTTTCTCCAGGGTCAAGTGAGGGTAATAAATCACTGCGAGTCCGTGGGGCTTCTGTGAGGGTAAAGGAGACAGGACCACCACAGTCAGGCCCCACGAAGCTCAGCACCTGACCGTGGTAAGCGCTAGATAGTGGTGTCTGTTTGTCTTTCTGCCTTCCACCGTCTTCCTTAGGGACTGCCCAGTGCGGGGCCTGTGGTTGCCCAGCTCAGAGCGGGGCCAGGTGAGCAGGGCTCCCTCCTCCTACGGGCGGGGTCTAATTCCCCACAGCGGGCTTTGGGCTCCTCTGGCAAAGAGCACGAGGGGCTGTCAGGCTGGGTAGTCAGCTGGTGGCCATCCCTGCCCTGGGCACCGCTAGCGAACCTTGTCCGCGCCCGGTGGGGAGGGCCGTGACAGCAGTGTCACTGTGGAGAGCACCGTCTTGTTCGACGCTGTGAAAAGCTGAATAATTATTTAACACATTTGGTTTCGTTTTCAAGCTTTTTTTTTTTACTATGTACAGATTATTATAATTTAAACAACAGTTCGAGATTTGAATACCCGAACCTGTCATCTCCCATTATTACTAGAGAGTAAAAATGTTCCATGAAATGTGTGTTGTGTTGGGTCTTTTGCTCTCCTGAAGTTTCCAGAACCCATCTATTTAAGATTCTGTGGCTGTGGAAAGCACGTCCTTGATGGTGGAGGGTCATTTGTGCTTTACCAACAGCCAGTCGCACAGGTCAGTGGCACCTCCTTGCTCACCCGCTATTCTTTGGGCATTAGTTTTAATGTTTAAATAGCCAGTGCGTTTCCCGAAGACTGCATAAAGCACTGGGTAGGCAGATGCCCACTGGTGGGGAAGGACGGGTGCTCAGCGAAGCCTTTCGCATAGAGAATACTGAATATCTCCACCATGATTTAGCATCAGAATCAGTTATGGTTGTCTGGCTGATGGACAATTTTTTCCCCGACCTGCTCTCTTTGCAAGTGACCTATACTGTCTAGACAGTTGCATATTATTTATACATTCATTTCTGATTTTATGGGGTTTTTTTTTCCACTAAAGTTGTGCAGATTTTATGCAGCCAAATAACTGTTGGAAATGTAGTTTGTGAAAAGCCAGAGCATCGCACCAGGAGAATGCTTGCTTTCTCAGAGTTATAGCAACACTAACATTAAAAAATGTTCTATTTTTAAAGGACCATCATAGGTGCTCTGAAAAAAGAAAAAAATGAAACCAAACTTCTCAACCTCTGCCACACGCACACGCACGCACGCACGCACACGCACACACATGCACCCCTCTCCTATCTTCAGAGTAACAGTAGCGGGCCATGGAGAGAATTAAAGACAGCTAATTTCAAAGGTTCTTAATCAATTCAAGTTGATCCCATTTGTTGATTAGGGAGTCAAAATGCATTATTTGCATTCTGTTTCAAATTCAGAGTTTTCTTGTGGAGGTTGGAGGCTGGAGAAATCTTTTTCAGAGTGATCCCCCTGGGCAGAAAGGGAGTTAATTTGAAAACTCTGGTGAGTCTGACGGGTTGTGAAAGTTCCACATGAAACATTTATAATGGCTCCTCTCAGGGTGGCGGCATTTGGGGGGTGCGTATGTGCGCGCACGCACATGTGTTCTTCAGTGGTCATGATCCCACGGCGGAAGCTTTGTGGACTTATCTGGGGAGTAAACAGAATGCCTCACGTCCGTCCAGATGCTTGGTGTGTGTAGACATCACAGCCAGAGACAGGAGAATAGGGTAACATTTAGTGATTGCAGGGAGGGACACCCCTTCCCCAGGTTTGTCTGAAGCTGGGGGCCAGTGTGGTGTGGTCTCAGCCCTGAGTCTGACCAGGCCCCCTGCTCTGGGTGTCCAGTTTGGGACAGTGAATTTTTCTGGTTTCATTGTAGGGTTACTTTCAACGTGAGACTGAAGTTTGAAATCGGTTCCTTCAAGCCCGTGACCTGGTGAGCTCTGGGAAATGTGACCAGCTGGAGTAAAGGAAGTGAACCCGAACGGCCAGTTCTCTTGGGCGAACGTGCTCAGCGTCGCAGAAGCAAGGGCCTGCATCCGGACGTCCCCCCCTTGGACCTCACAGCCGCTGGCTTCACTAGGAACATCCTGGGCCGAAGTGTGCTGATGTGTGTGCCCTACGTATCAGGAAGACATCGCTTCTCTGAGGCAAGGCTGCACATTAACCTATTTGCATTTCATTGCTGTCCACCGAAGCCGGTGATGAGGGTGAGCATTTCACAGGGATTATAGGGAGGAAAACACTCTATCTGGATAAATTTGGTTCTGCATTTTGGAACCTCACCCTCAACCCCCAAACAGAACCTGCTTACACTGTTTTCTATGTTCCATTGGAGTCACAATTGACATCTTAAAATTTACCCTGGCCACCAAATGGTCAACCGTGTTCTGCTTATCACCACCACCAACGTACATTGTAAAATGTGCTTATCCTGTGGCGAAAGTGATTTGGGATGCAGAAGTCATAGCGAGGCAAGCACACAGCCCCCCACACTTTCAGGAGGGGAGCAAGTTCACTTGTCTAAATACCAGTTCTAGAGCACACCATTTCCTTCGCTGACAGTGCCAAGCGGCCCTTTCAAAGGCTGTTCCTTCCGAGCGCGGTTCCGTTCCTGCTTCGCTCCTGAAGTGTGAGATGGCCCCGCGTTCTGCCCCAGCCCAGGGCGCGGCGCACGTGCTCACTGAGCTGTACAGCTCGCAAATAACTTGGGTGCTTTTTTCACCCACGGTGAGGAAGTATATTTAAAAGAAATTGCCTTTTATAGATTTAAATTACAAAAGTACTGATATCATGCAAGAGGCAGTTTAACCCATGCAAGCATACAAATAGGTAAATCTCAGGGAAAAAGATACCAAGGCTAATATGAATGTAAATAGGATTAGCCGTCTGCATTAGAGGTGGCGGTGAAGTGCTTTCTGTTTGGTGATTCTTCACAACAGACCTACATTTCCTGTGTGTGTCTGCAGGTATTTGCAGATACATTTTATTTTGTCTTGGGCTCGAATTTCGAACAAGAACAGACAACGGCGCTGACATCTGCTTATTGGCAGGCAATGTAGGAATGGAATTTAACCTTCTTGGTGGTTAAATATTTATTGATATTAAAATTTAAGTCTTTATGAAAATATGACAAAGTTTGACCAAGAAAATATAGATTCATATTACAAAGAAATATGAAAACTGAGTAGATAGTGTTTTTATTTTTCTCTTAAGAAAAGCCTGATGCCCTGGCCGGCGTGGCTCGGTTGGTTGGAGGACTGTCCCGTGCACCGGAGGGCTGCAAGTTTGATTCCAGGTCAGGGCACGTGCCTGGGTTGTGGGTTCAATTCCCTGTAGGGGCACCTGCGGGAGGCAACTAGTTGATGTATCTCTCTCACATTGATGTTTCTCTCTCTCCCTACCTCCCTCTCTTTAGAAAAATGTATTTCCTAATCTTCAAGAAGAAGGAAAAAAGAAAGAAAAGCCTTGTTTGTCCCCAAACACTGGTTCAGATGAAAGTGAGCAATTTAGAGGTGGGATCAGCAGACGGTAGTCACGGGCCGGATCCAGCCCGCTGCCTGGTTCTGTTCATGCGCCAAGATAAGAATGGTTTTAACATTTTTAAATGGTTACTTTTTTTTAAATCCAAAGAAAAATAACATTTTATGACACATACAAATTATACAAAATCCAAGTCTCAGTGTCTATAAATAGTTTCCTTGGCATACAGACGCATTCGCTTGTGTAAATGCTGCTGCTTTCTCGCTCAGTGGCCAGTCTGAACGGCTGTGACAGTGGCCTTATGGCCCCCGAGGTCTAAAATACTGCCCATCTGCCCTTCACAGGGAAGTGTGCCTGCCCCGGGCTTAGAGCGAAGGCATCTGCACGCACCTGATCGTTGGGAATCAAATGAGGTCGCTGGAGGTGGAAACCTCTCCTCGGAAGGTCTCATGTCTCTGAACTTCGATTACTTTCTTAGCTAGGAGCATGGCCCAGAGATGATTGGTAATAAAACATGTTGCTTTGTTTTGTTTTTTAATTTAAATGAAGCCACAACCTGACAGAGCACCTCGGGAAGCATAGAATGGACCTTTGTGAGGAGTGTGGTAGAGCAAGGGGGAGGCCCTGCTGGGGTCCCCCTTCCTGGGCTCATGTCTGCAGTCTGCCACGTGGAATCTTTGCTTAATCTCTCTGCACCACAATTTTCTTATTGATGAAATAGAGGCTTTCCGCATAGGGTTGTTGCCAGAATTAAATGAGATGACAATTAACTTGACTCAACTGGGCACATTTTTTCACAGCCTTGGAGTAAGAAGAGCTGTTCTGTTTCTGTCCTCATGAGGGGTCTGGGAACACAAGGTAACTTCTTCCTGGAGCAAGTGTGACGCATGAAAATCTAGGTTCCCAGCACAGGTCAGAGGGCTGCGTCTCACCCACTGCCGGTGCCCAGCAGTAACTGTGCGGATCCAAAGCATTGTTTCTGTCCTCATGGAGTTTATAGTCTGGAGAAGCAACTGGCATTTTGCAGATCATACAAACTATTACAACATAGTTCCACTTCACAAAAGACTGTTTCAGGGTATGACATGGGGAGAATAATGTAGCAAAACTTTAGTGAGAAAGAGCTGATGGGAAGGGACAGATTTCATAATATATGGTCAGAACACGCTCTCCTGGGGTTTAATGGCGTGTGGATCGCTTCCTGCAAGTAGGGTGCAGGCTCACACTCTGACCACCAGCACTTTGGGGGTATCCGTGGACAGCGTCAGAGCCAGAGAGACACATCCGAGGTACCTTGGTCCACGCAGGCTGTCTGCACAAAGCCAAGTTTATTTGAAGGCAGTGGGAAAGAACCCAACTTTTGAGTATGTACCAAGTAATCAGACAGCCCTGTTGGTTGACTGTCTAGCTCATCAATTGGCTGCTGTCTCAATGTGATTATTACTATTCATCTCACATAAGTAAATAATTCATATTTTTACAAGCATCATTAATAATGCATGCATTTGATAAGCATGTGGTAGATGCACTGTATGAGTGCCCACGCTCTACAGCACGGATCTTGGGCGGTGGAGGCGGCGCCTCGCCCTCACATCGCCCGTCAGGAAGGAGCCTGCCGTCCAGCTGCAGGGAAGGCAGGGGAGCTTCCGGCCGCGGGCCCTCGGGTCCCACCTCAGCTCTCAGCCGGACCACGCTCCTCCTCGAGCCGGGCTGGGTTCCTCCCGCCGGTGCAGAGCTCCGTTCCGGGCGACCTTGGTTCCGAAGCCGGTTGATTCGGTTAGGACTCTGTCAGGTGACCGTCGTGTTCTGCAGCTCTCCTCCCCTTCCCGCTTTCTCCCCTTTGCCTTTCATTGCGCTCAGGTCCGCGGTCGCCTCAGGGCCCTCCCCAGCCAGCCCGCTTCTGAGACGGGGTTTGCTCGGATGAAAGACAAACCAGAACGGAGCCGCGGCTGAGCCTGCAGACGCAGACCACGAGGGTCCGGTTCCCACGGACGGAGGGTCCCGCTCAGCCAGCCCCACCGAAGAACGCCCGCGCTCAGGGTGGACTGTGGGTCTGCTCACCGACCCGTCATAATGTTGAAAATAAGTGTTCTCGAGGAAACAGTGTTAATATTAGAGACAGCAGATGTATTTTTGTATCTTCTATCAGTTTTTGAAGAAACATAGTATCCCCTATCATAATGAAATCTAGACCACTCAAGTTTCTGGATGTGGACATTTCGTACAGGAAGGTACCTAGACTGCCCCTGCCCTTGAACATTTTCTTCTGGAGGCTTTGAAATGTTTTATGTTTGATTGACAAGGCCTACACGTGTGCACAGACTTCCTGTTTTAGAGATTTGTTTTCTTGCTGTGGCCCACCTCTGTGAAGTGTGCTTCTACTAGAGACTTGTGGAGTCTCTGTGTCCTCCTCGAACCCTGTACGTCTCAGTTTCAGCTGACCTCACTGTGCTTTGCGTTTTCATCGTTTTAAACAGAACATTTAAAAGACGCCATTGTGGCCAGGATTGGATAGCTCACTTTTTTTTTTGCAAAAGCAAAAACAAGTATGAGCATCTTATAAATAACAATATTTTCCGATGATAATGTCGAATTAATCCAATAAATGAATATGTATTGATGGTATTCTTTTGGGTTTTGAAAATCCTTACAACCACATAATTAAATGAGTGCCTTTAGAAATACTGATAACAGCCCATTGCCATTCAAATATCCATGCGAGACAATGGCCGTAAGCTGTGGGCTTGGGAGATTAGTTTGGCCACGAGCCAGTGTTTATCACAATATTTCCATCTCAGCTGATAAAATTTAATCATTCTTATTTAAATAGAAATCAGAATTAATGCAGGTTTTAAAGAGAAGGAATAACAACGAGCCGCCCTGTCTTTATTCCGCAGCTCCCGGCGCGCGCCGTCTGTTCAGAATGGAAGCACCGGCGTTGTCTGTTGTCTTCCTACCTTGGACTTTCATTCCCGAGTCCTCAAAAATAATGAGCTCCGGCTTCTCGAATATTTATTTCTTCCGCTTGGCTTTAAGAATGGTGGCTCCCACCCTCATCCCCAGTGGGCTCAGCAGGGCTTTGTGTGTGACGGGGACGTGACTCGCCCGAGTCCACACGACACGTGCTTGAGCTGTTCCTCCTGGTTGGCGATGGGCTTGGACGATCCTTTCTCGTCCCTGTGCCCAGGGCCCAGGCGACCGACAGCAGGCCGCGGGAAGGCAGCTGAGCGGACTGGGAATGGCCAGCTCTGGGTCAGAGCCATGTGCTGGTGGTCAGGTCCCAAGTGAAGTGTCCCCCTGGACCAGAGGCATTCCGCAGCCCCGTGTAAGCAGCTACCGCCTGGAGCAGCGTGCAGGCCATGCAGGTGGACCCACTCATGGGAGGCGAGGCCCGAGAGCCAGGGCGTGGTCGCGCTCCAGGGCCAGTCAGCGGCCCAGGCCCCAGACGGGCCGTCTGTGACTGTGCAACCCCTCGACCCACGCCTAGCGCCGAGTGGACACAGCTTGGGACCATTTTGTTTGGCTCTGTCTATACATTTTTGGTTAATGTCTCAAATGGTTTACACCAAACCAAACCCCTTCCAATTCAAACACTGCCCTCCACAAAATAAACACACCGACGGAAGGAACCCCATTCCACCCTCTCCCCAGGGTTTCCTCCTTTAAATAGCCTTTAAAAAACTAAATGCCTTCATTTCAATATAAAAAG